AGAGAGAGGGGGGGAGAAGGAGAGAGAGAGAGAGAGAGAGAGAGAGAGAGAGAGAGAGAGAGAGAGAGAGAGAGAGAGAGAGAGAGAGAGGAAGAGACCGAGATAGAAACTCTCTCTCTCTCTCTTTCTCTCTCTCTTCGTTTCTCTCCACTAATTCCTCACTGTTTTTTTTATTTCACGCTGTCGGTTATTCGCAAGACAAAGCACTTACACGTTAATCTCAAACACTATTACATGATTGTGTGAAAAATAAATGAAAAGAACGAAAGAAAAAAGAATCACGATCTAAATTATCTCATCAATTTTCTCTTATGACACGTAATCTATCTATCTGTTTGTATATATTTTTTCTTCTTTGTCTCTCTCTGTCTCTGTCTCTCTCTCTCTCTCTCTGTCCCTCTCTCTCTGTCTGTCTGTCTCTGTCTCTCTCTCTCTCCCTCTCTCTCTCCCCCCCCCTCCTCTCTCTCTCTCTCTCTCCCTTTCTCTCTCTCTCTCTCTCTCTCTCTCTCTCTCTCTCTCTCTCTCTCTCTCTCTCTCTCTCTCTCTCTCTCTCTCTCTCTCTCTCTCCCTCTCTCCCTTTCTCTCTCTTTACGCGGAATGCGGGTTAAAGTTCTCCATTTTTTCTCTCTCTTCCGTTATTTTCTATTTTCTTTTTTTTTACCTAATTTGTGGGTTAGGCTTTTTTTCTTTCATTTCTCGTTAACCCGCTCATGATCATAACGGTATATGATAATAAGAAGGGTTGACTTAAGACCCATAATTATTATATAGGCCTAGCGGACTTCCGTAACTCAGGTCATGTGATTTTTAAAGAAACTGTTTATTTATTTAGTTAGTTAGTTAGTGAGTTATTTTGGTTATAATGTCAAATTATTTTTTTCTTCTTCTTCTTCTTATTTTTATTTGTTTTTTATATCTCTGTCTGTTTATCTATCTGTTATTCTGTCAGTCTGTCTATCTGTTTCTCGATTTATATGATTTTATCTATCTATCTATCTATCTGCCGGTATGTGTATCTATTCACTGATATAGCTTTCTGTACAGTCTCTTTAGTTTTCGATTTTTGAAATTATTATTATCATTATTATTATTATCCACAATATTAATTCATTTCAAATGGGTTCACTGTCCAGTTGATTCCTAGGGAGACGTAGCGTAAATGCAACTGACTCCCTGTATATATATACCTCGGCACTATCGTATGAAAATAAGGTTAAATATTAATTATTTAAATAGAATGACCCAATGTAGAGATAAAACTCAAATTCAATAATATTCACAGGTTGACTCTTCCATGTAAAATCTATGAAACTCTTGGTTTATATTTGATACTTAAAATCAAAGAATCACGTCCAGCTCACATACACAATGAAAACGACCGGGGAAAAAAAAAACTTGTATTTTCCTCTTGTGATTGTGATGTCAGGACGTGCCTAATCTTCCTCCTTCCGGTCAGTAAAGAAGAATCACTCACGAAGATAACGAAACGTCGGTTATTTCGAGAAGAATGAAGCTTTTTCCCGCCCAACGCGACTTTATAGTGTTCGTGACGTCATATCCCATGTCGAACATCATTCATGTAAAAGAATTAAGTTTGTGCGAAAAGCTTTAAGAAAGTAAAGAAAATTATTAATTAATAGACTTTTATAATGAGATAAAACAGAGAAAAAATACATACTTAACGTGGAGTAGACAGAAAGAAGTACAACAGAGAAAATATTATGTTAAATTAGACATGTCTTAAAATGAAAGCGAAGCTTCAGTAGATAGGAAAAAGTGACAAAAAATGAAGGAAAAAATACCCATTTAAAATAATATAAGTGACCATCAAACGAAAAATAATTTGCGTATAAGTGAATCGGAGATGAGAGAGAGCGGGGTCAAAGGGCAAACTCAAACAGAAGTGACTTTTAAGAATCAACGTAAAATCGAACAGTAAAAGAGAAATAAAAGAAACATAAGGAAATATACATAGAGAAATATGAAGAGAAAGAGATAAAGAAGAGACGGCAGGATGCACACTTACATCATTATAATTATCATTATTATTATTATTATTATATTAATCATTATTGTTATCATCATTAAAATGATTATCATCATTACCATTATTAGCATCATTATCATTATGATGATCATTATTTTCTTATTATCATTATTATTATTATTATTATTATTATTATTATTATTATTATTATTATTATTATTATTATTATTGTTGTTGTTGTTGTTGTTGTTGTTATTTTATTACTATCATTATTATTATTATTATTATTATTATTATTATTATTATTATTATTATTATTATTATTACTATTATTGTTATTATTATTGTCATCATCATTATCGTTATCACTATCATTATTATCATTATTATTATTGTTATTATTCTTTTTGTTATTATTACTATAACAATGTTGTTATTCTTATCTTTATTATGCCTATTCTTATTTTTATCATTATTATCATTATTATCATTATTACAATTATTATCATCACT